GTGACACTAGCTGATTGGGCAGCATGGTACGACTCTTGTGGTCAACAGACATATAGAAAACAAACAAGTCTGATGTTGATAAACTTCCATTAGAAAATGATGATGAAGATAATAACGATGAATTACCAAATGACGAAAATCTTCAAATGGTAAAAGCTTCTGGAAGTAAAAATGTAAAGAAAAGATCTCGATCTAGAGTAATCCGAAGTGTCTGGTTTAATAAAGAGGCACAACCTGAAAAACATTATCGGAGTTAATTATGCTATTTACTCCTTGGCGAAATGAGCAAACCGATTTGTTGAGAAATTATTCCTTTTGAGGAGCACTATTTAGCTCGATATGATGAAATAAATAAGCAAATGGAGCAATATGCTGTTTGTAACGAAGATTTAAATGAAATTGGACATAATTTTGACGAATGTGATGATGCTTTTGATACAATAGCACCTGTGACACAAGATGTTGAACGACATGATCAGGACCAAGGATGCGTGGACACACATCCAGATTTAAACGAAACTTTTGATCATCTTGCAGAAAATTTGGGTATACCGTCTTCTTTACCAAATAATGAACCGCTCATCTTAAATGAAATGCAAGATAACGAATATCGAGCTTTAGTTCAGATGCTGAATAAGAAACAAAGAGAGTTTTCTATCATGCTCTGCATTTGATAAAAACATCAGATAAACCATTTTACGCATTCCTCAGTGGAAGTGGAGGTGTTGGAAAGTCTCACCTTATTAAATCGATATACCAGGCAGCATTGAAGTATTACAATTCACGAGCAGGGGACGATTTTCATCGTATTCATATATTATTGCTTGCTCCGACAGGAAAAGCTGCATATCTTATAAAAGGTAACACGATTCACAGTGCCTTGCGCATTCCAGCTAGTCAGTCTCTAAAAAATTATAAACCATTGGATTCTGGCAGATTAAACACGATGAGACTGGAACTGGGTTCATTAAAGTTAATATTACTTGATGAAATATCAATGGTTGGCAACAGTATGTTCACCATTCAATTGAACAACCGTTTGAAAGATTTAAAAGGTAGCAAAGAAGATTTCGGCGGTGTCAGTATAATCACAATAGGTGATTTATTTCAACTGAAGCCTGTAATGGATAGTTATATATTCACAGATGTTCAGTGCTTAAATTCTTACGATATTCTTGCCCCAAACTTATGGAGGAAATATTTTAAACTGTTTGAGCTCGATGAAATCATGAGACAGAGAGAAAGCAAGATTTTCGCAGAGATTCTCAATCGACTTCGTGAAGGTAATCATACTCCTAGTGATCTTAAATAACTGAAAGAGAGATGCGTTGAAGAGAATATGTGTCCCAGAGACGCCCCACGTTTATTCATTCAAAGTGCTTTAGTTGATGAATATAATCATAAAGTTTATCAATCATTCAATCCTGGTGATAAATACGTAATCAAGGCACAAGATAGCGTCATTGGAGCCTGTTCAACTGAACTCAAGGAAAAAATAATCAGACAAATACCACATGTTCCTTTCAAAAATTCAAAACAGTTGGCTTATAAGCTACATATTGCAGTCGGACAACGAACAGAACTTGCGGTCAATATACGCACTGATGATGGACTAACAAACGGCGCAAGTAATGTCATTAAACATATTCAATTGACCAATGATACCAAACCCCCTGGCCTCGTCTGGGTTCAATTTGACAGCGAAGATGTTGGGGAAAAAACCCGACAAGAAAATAGAATCTTATATGCGGGAGGTACATGCATACTAAGTAGTTGGACACCTATTAAACCGGTTACAACGCAATTTGCTGTAGGTAAAACAAAGTCTGCTCAAGTGGTAAGAAAGCAATTTCCCTTAAGACCAGCGTCGGCTAAAACTGTTCATAGATCACAAGGTGATACTCAATCACAAATCGTCGTTAATTTGAATACGAGAAGAGCAATTCTTCATATTCATTACGTCGCTCTAAGCCGAGTAACAACAATCGAAGGGCTATATATAACTGATCTCTGCGAAAGTAAGATTTCTGTTGATCCTAAAGTCGTACAAGAAATGCAATCGCTGAGAAATGAGTATAAATTAGATCTTTGTTTTACTCCTTTGTACATGCTGAATCACACTGATATCAAAATTTGTCATCTAAATGCAAGATCTTTGCACAAGCACATAGAAGATGTACGAAAAGATATTAATTATTCCTCAGCTGACATCCTAATTTTTACTGAAACAAGATTTAGTTCACAAGATCCTGATGAAATGTATGCAATTGAAGGTTATGAGTTATTTAGAAATGACGAGATTTCAAATGTTAACCGTCCATATCACGGAACAGCTATTTATTCCAAAATTCCCATGATGATTGGATACCCTTGTGCGAAAAACTGTCATGGGATCGAGTTAACTATAATAAAGACAGTCCAACGCCCAGACTTAATTGTAATTGGAATATACAAATCTCCAAGACTTGTATTATCACCTCTTTTGGCTGCCATTCGTGCCACTTTGGAGGAAAATCGTTCTACACAAGTTATAATCATTGGAGACTTTAATGTTAATTGGCTTGATGAGATAGAACGAAGATTATTGTACAACCTTATGATCAATGAAATTGGCCTTGACCAACTTATATCTAGCTGTACAACAGATAATAGGATATTAATTGATCATGTGTATACGAATTTGATTGAAGAAGATGTTCAAGCAGGTACTCTTGAAACGTACTTTAGTGATCACAAATCAATTTGGGCTTCCGTTAAGGTAAGAAAGTAATGACATGCAAACATCACATGTTACAAAGAACTACAACAATAAGTTATTGAAAAGTAAAGAAATACCATAGTGTAACATGGTTAGATCTTTAGCTTCACTGGGACAGAAATTCAATGTCAACGAGTTCCCAATAAATCTACAGGGGTAGACGCGGTGCGTAGAATGAAACGAACTCGACGTAGGAATTTTGATAATTTATTAACAGGATATAACAGGTTTGGGTCGAATAAGTCGATTGAGAATATTGCGTCGGTTCGAACTAAAATATGATAAGCAGACAAACTATAGTAACCTGTCACATGAAATTAATAGGAGTATACTTGATAATTGACATAAACGAGATATACTTATTAAACTAAGAATTAGCATGCAATACAATATAACAACTAAACCGATTTTAGCAGCGCTTATCGAAACACTTAGTGCGACAATTGCTAACTGAAACAACGTACTATCTATTTACTTACTTTGGTTTGCAGACGCACCAACTTTAACTATCATGCGCGTAGATATAGCTTTGATTGAGGTGGAATAAAGATAGAATTTTTTGTCTCGCAATGCGAATAGAATTGTAGCATAAACCTTTGCTTTCTTGCAAGCGTCCACATTCGAGACTCAGCGTAGAATGAGTGTAGAAGTAGAATGTTTTTGTGTAGCATGAACCGGATTTCAAAACATAGAAACGCAGTGTGTTTGTGACGGACATAGCGTGGCTAGGCAAGGCAACCGCATTGCGCATTTGCTAACCAAATTTACGCATTTAATGTAAATCTTCGCGCTGAAATGGAAAATAACAACTTGTTTTTGCCAGAAAAATAGCAACTTGAACGACCTTCCGTTTCGAAACCAACATTCCGGCCCCTTAAAGGCGATGTTGAAGCCTTTACCAAAAAATTATATGGGTTCGAAACTTTATGATAAATCTCAACTAGCATTTAATCTAATATGTGTATATTTGTATATATTGCTCCTGGCTATCGCCGTCTATTAAATCTTAATTATTTTCTACTTATCGTCTGTTGGAGCAGTTTCAGATTCCAGGAAGATAATCTTGTCCACTGGTCGAACCAAGACCGATAAGCTTGTCTTCACTTTCACAGAACGCATGAGACCATCCCGACGGTTGGTGTAGACGTCGAGGATGCGTCCCATTGGCCAGCTGCAGCGTGGAGTTTTCTCATCGAGGATTAAGACAATATCACCAACTTCTAGATTCCGTCGTTTCTTAAGCCATTTCTGCCGTTCTTGCAATGATGGTAAATACTCTCTAATCCATCGCCTCCAAAATACATTGGCCAGATACTGTACTTGTCGCCATCGCCTCGTGCTGCAGCAGTCGTCCTTTGAGAAATTTCCAGGTAGTAAATTTGTTCCGCTTCGGAGCAATAGAAGATGGTTGGGGGTTAGGGGTTTCAGATCGTTGGGGTCATCTGACAACTTTGTCAATGGCCGTCCATTGACAATAGCTTCGACCTCGCACATCAATAAGGCCTTCGTCATCGAGTAACTGTTCCTTGGGTAATAGCTCTCATTACCTTTCGAACTGTTCTTATACATCGCTCCCACACCCCGCCGTGGTGTGAGCCTGCAGGTGGGTTAAATGTCCATTTAATGCTGCGTTGCACGAGGAAGTCATGGATTTGATTTTGGTTCCATTTTTCGATTTCTTGCCGAAGTTCTTTTTCGCCTTTTACGAAGTTACCTCCGTTGTCCGACCGCATTTCCTCAGGTTGGCCTCGTCTTGCGATGAATCTTCGTAAAGCGTTTATGAAGGATTCTGTATCCAAAGAATTTGCTACTTCTACATGGATTGCTCGAGTTGTTAAACAGGTGAAGATAATACCATATCGTTTCGTACTCGTTCTTCCGCGGCGTACGGAGAACGGGCCGAAGCAACCTACACCAGTAAAGGAAAATGGGGGTTTTCCGTAGGTTACGCGATCTGCTGGGAGGTCTGCCATCTTTTGTTCGACGACAGGAGATTGTCTTTTTCTGCAACTAACACACGCATTCAATATCTTTCGAACTGTAGCCCGTGCCTTGATTATCCAAAACCGCTCTCTTATTAAAGATAACGTGTATTCTATGCCAGAGTGACCAGAGACGTGGTGGTAATGTTTGGTGATTAGGGTGACCACGTGGTGGGTTTTAGGAAGGATAATTGGGTGACGAGCGTCATCGCTGATTTGTGCTCGTTGGATACGACCTCCGACTCGAATGAGGCCGTCGACTAGGATAGGGTCCAGTTTTGCAATACTGCTAGCATTGCTAACCGAGTTGTTGTATCTTTTACTTTGAAGATGTCGAGTTGAAGATGTACGAGTTTCAAAACTGCACGTTCGGCATTGACCAATTCTGTCAAACTGATGGGTGGGATATTTGCTGATGGTAGGGATTCCGCTCGATCTTTCTGTTGAGATCGGGTACGCGAACGCAGATTTCTTACATAGCGTAGTATAAGGGCGAATACTCTTCTTAATCTGCTCCACGATGAAAACCTTTCAATTAGTTGATCCGTAAACTGTTTCTTAGAAACGTGCGCTATGCTGGCAGCGCAAACAAACGAACCGTGCTTCACTTCGGGGTCGTCGTCTAGGACCGCCGTGGTTGATCCCAGATCTTCAGGTCTCTTTGGCCATTCTCCGGGTGGCTTAGTAAGGAAATCGGAACCCTTGATCCATCGCAGAAGAGAGTCTGCCGGCACGCCTCTTGATGCGTCATCCGCAGGATTTGAACAAGTGTCCACGTAATTCCATTGCTTGGGGGTCGATGCATCATGTATTGTCGCTATTCGATTTGCGACAAACGTCTGAAATCGCTTGGTCGTGTTTTCAATGTAGCGCAAAAAACAAGTGCTGTCAGTCCAAAAGAAAGATTGATCGGTAGGCAAGCTCAATTCATTTCTTGACATCTTGTCGAGCTTCGTAGACACTACAGCCGCTGATAACTCCATTCGGGGTATCGTTACTGGCTTCATAGGCGCAAGTCGGGATTTTCCCATCACGAACGAACATTTGACATTTCCCGATATGTCTTCGATTCTAATATAGGACACAGCTCCATAACCTTGCTGCGAGGCATCAGAGAAGTGGTGAAGTTGTGTTGATTTGATGTCATTCATTGTAGCTGGTTTGAAGCAACGTTCTACAGCTAAATTTTCAAGTTGAGGTAGATCATGTAGCCATGCTTGCCAGTGTTTAAGATTTTCATCAGGAATCTTATCGTCCCAGTCGAGCTTTAATCGACAAAGTTCTTGTAAGATCAATTTTGCCGAAAGAATATAAGGAGCAACGAATCCGAGGGGGTCGTAAATAGAACTGACGATCGATAGTATTCCTCTTTTCGTTGCCGGTCGATCCTTAATCACGATTGCAAAGCCGAACGTGTCTGAAGACACGTTCCACCTGACGCCTAGCGCTCTTTCTATTGGAACCTTGTCGAAATCCAAATCTTTGACTTGAGCTGCTCTTTCTGCTTCCGGCAAAGATTCAATGACCCTTCGAGAATTGGACAACCACTTCGTGAGATTAAATCCTCCTAGTGATAGTAATTCGCGTAATTCCTTCGAAAGTTTGATTGCTTCTTCTTCGTCGCGAACTGATTTCAAACAATCGTCGACATAAAAATTGCGTTTGACGGTCTCGATAGTTTTGTCGTGGAAGTGCGATGCATTGTCCATCGCCGTTTTCTTCAGTGCGTAATTCGCACAACTTGGGCTAGAAGTACCGCCGAACAAATGGACGTTCATTTGATACTCTTCGGGAGGGTTCTCGAGATTGCCGTTCGGCCACCACAGAAATCGTAGAGCATCTCTGTCGCTTGGTCGAACGCGGAGTTGATGAAACATTGTCTCGATGTCGGACATGAACGCAATGGGTTCTTCGCGGAACCGTGTTAACACCCCGACGAGTGAGTTGGTTAGGTCCGGCCCCTGTAAAAGCCGGTCGTTAAGGGAAGTGTTGCCGTATTTCGCAGAATAGTCGAAAACAACTCTGACTTTATCTGGTTTTTGTGGATGGAAGACAGGATGATGTGGGAGGTACCAGCGCGTACCTAACGATCCTTCTTCGTTGTTGATTGCTTCGCTTGCGTAGTCTTTCTCGAATAGTTTATCCATGAAATCTCTGTATTTCCGAAGAAGTTCGGGATTGTTGTTTAGTCGTATTTTCAGCAATTGTAAGCGATGTTCGGCTTAGGTTTTATTGTTAGGTAGGTCTGGTGGATTTTTCCACGGGAGCGCAATCTCGTAATGGCCATTTTCCATCTTAACCGATTCTTCCATGATGCCGAGAGCCTTTCGATCGTTCTGAGACATTGTTGGGTTAGTATCATATTTGTAATCATTAAATTCGTAGTTGCAGTAGTTTTCGAATTTTTCGTCCGAGGTTAGATTAGCTTGAGCTAGGTTCGCCGTCGAAGTTTTCGTTCCGTTTCTGCCTAATGGACCATTCAGGACCCATCCAAGGGCCGTTCGGGTTGCAAATGGACCACCGTTCTGACTTTGTCGCATTTCACGAGGTTGGAGAGCTTCCGGGACATCGCTACCAATAAGCAGTCCAATGTCTGCGTCGATTGAATTTATTCTGATTCCAGTTAGATAGGGCCAGCGATTTACATCTTCTTGCCTTCCAATGGCGTCTTTCGGAATCGGCAAGTTCGGCCTTGAATACACCGTTGGGAGGTTGATTTCAGAGTTGCCCGCGAGGTCCAAGATCTCCAGGCTAACCATTGTACATTGTTCCGGAACATTTTCGGCTTGCATCGTCGTCAATGACAGCTTCGTCTTTGTACCGTGGATCTCGAGTTCTTCAAGCAATTTTTCGGTGCAGAAGGTGGTATTCGAGCCTGAATCGAGGAACGCGTAAGTTTTTACCGTCTTCGAGCTTCCTTTAGCTTTCACTTCGATAGGTACGATTGCGAGTCCTGTGATTGGAGAACTACCACCGGGCTTAGACTTGACGTAACCATTGTTGGCGTTGTTACCTTGTGTTTCGGAATGATTATCTTCAGAGCGACGATCCTCCGGAATTTTCTCTTTCTGCTTGGAGTCATTTTTCTTGGTGTTCAGGGGTTGTTGCAATTTCGGGTGAAGAAAGGTTGAATGCTTGCCGACACATCCATCAACTTTACAAAAACTTTCTTTCTCGCACGAGCGGACGAAGTGACCAGTTGACAAGCAGTTAATACAAAGTTTCTTTTCCCGGACGAACTTCTGTCTCTCTTCTAGAGACTGTTTTTTAAACTTATCACAGCGAGACAGCCAATGGTTGGAGCCGCACTGTGGACATTTGGGTGATTGTGAGGTTGATTGGGTTGCGAAACCTGTAGCCTTTCCATATTGTGATGTCCTCTGATTCTGCTTGAGCGGCTTGGGTTTCTCTATGGCGATCTTTCCGAAGACTGGATGATTTGCAGCTCTTGCCTTGGCAGTTACAAATTTGTTAATGTCCTTTATTGTGACATCGCGCTGTTGTATTTCAACGATCCGATCTACTGTGTCTCGCCATTTGACTCTCATCGCGTAGGGTAGGCGTTCGACTATCCTTTTCAGATTTTCCGAGTTATTTAGCTTATGTAGGTATCCAATCTTCTCCAGCGTGTTTGTGCAACTGGTTAGTTGTATCGAGAATTGCTGAAGGGCGTTCGCATCTTCGCTCTTGATTGGTGGACCGTCGACCAGCCGTTGAAGGTGGGCGGCGGCGACCCGGTACTCCTTTCCATAACGTTCTTTGAGGAGTTTTCTTGCTTCTTCGTATCCTTCGTCCTCTTTCATCGAAAGACAGCTTTTCATGAGTTCCTGTTCAGAACCGCTGGTGTGTTGAACAAGGTAGTAGAGTCGTGCACTTGGGCTTGTGGTTTTCGACTCGATCAGATGCTCGAAGGAGCGGATGAAATCGCAATAGTCGACAGGGTTTCCGCTGAAGACTGGCATACTTGGTTGGGGCAGAGTCAAAGCTAAGACACCCTGTTGCTGTTGGCGAATAAGTTGTTGGAGGGCGTTACTTTGTTGGTCTTGTATTTCAACAATTCGTCGGAACGATTCGTCACGTGGAGTAGATGTTGAGTTGCTGGCGAAGTCCTGCCTCGAATTGATCTTGGGAGTATTTTCCATACTTTGATGTTGGTTGTCCACTGTGAGTTCGGTTGCGAAGGGATTCTTTGACCTTCCGGTACGAGCGTCTAATAGCAGGGAAGGGTCGGATTGCTTAAGCTCTTGGGCCTCGGCTTGCTCGTACACGTCTCTTTCAGCTTCGGCAGCGGCTATTTCTCCGCTCAGCTGTAACTCTTTCTTTCGTTGTGGCAGGGTGAGCTCCTCCATTTCGAGCTGATGGACACGACGTAAGGTTTTAACCTGCGATTCTAAGGCAGCCTTCTTCGCAGCGGCCTTCGCTTTCGAACTGCTAAAACTTGTTGCCGAACCACATAGCGAGTTTGAACGAGACGATACGCGGGAACCTACTTGACTGATCGAATCTTCTGGCCGAATATGACCGCTATGGGAGTCCGAAATGTGATGATCGACGCCAAATGAACTTGATGAAAAGGCCAAGCACGACAAAGAAAATATCGATATCTTCGTTCCTCTGCTGTTATCTGGTATCGACATCCAAAAATACTGTAAACTGTCACTGGAACGTGGATACGAGACAAAAACAGTTCTCTTTTCTTAAGCAAAGCATCACTAAACTTCTTGACACGTTCATGCAAGACAAAGGCAACAAAATGATGCATTTCTGGTAACTATTATTTGTTAGTACGCGTTTACATCAGTGCTGAATAATGGATTCATTCTTAACTGATTGTCGGACTGATAATATGATCAATGAACAATGTAAACAAGCTAAAGAATTATCATTGGATTAATACGCTCGGGCAACTTTCTCCGACTAATTAATGGTGATAGAAACATTGTCCCCGATCCTAATTTTGCCTTCGTATACTCGATTCATGGTATCGTTAAAAAAAGTAATTTCATACGAAAAAAAACTATGGCAAGAAACTTTGCATTGATGATTTAAGCATCATTCAAAATCAACCTCTTAGCTAACATCGTATATTGCATACATCCAACGACAAAATTACATGCACAAGCTGTTGTAAAACAATAAACATCGTAGCGTACTGATATTGAAGTGAAAGCTGATTAACCAGTGACTTTTTGAAATTGTAAAAAAACCTGGAACACTCCGAAAACTTATTTTATACTTTCAATATATCAGATATTTGTTATATATCACAATGTGTGCCGCCATCCTGGAACCTGACTTCTTTCCTTTTGTACTGTCAACATTGTTTTGTCCAATACATGTCTTATTTCTAATATTTTTGTGTATACTTTTTCTACATTCTCTCTATTGTCTCTCTTGTAAAAAAATGTTTTATGTGTGAATTCCGTCATTCGAAATTTATATGAAGAATGTCCATATAATTGTCTAGAATGTGTATTTCATGTGATTATTTAATTTAATTGTGTAATAAAATCTAATTTTCTATTACTGTATCTGACATATATATTGACTAGTGCATTTCTTTGGCGAGAGAGGTTTATGACATTGAAAACATAAAACTAATCAATTCAATGATTTTTGTCGCAATCTGCCATCTGTTTGACAGTGAGCATAACTTGCAATCAACGTTCCTCACCTAACCCCAAAAAAGGCTGCCATAATATCTAATCCATTACCCTTAGGTAATCGGTTATTTAAACAGATAGTTTATTAACCCTCTAGTGCCCAAGGGTTTCCCTGTGACGAGTAAAATCGTCTGGCGTTAGACAGACTAAAATAGTAAAGTGTCACAATGGCCACTACTTATAAAATCTACTTTGTTTAATAGTTTTTGAGCTTGATGTTCAAAAGACATTATAGGTATAATTGAAAGCCGGTGACCATGCGCGATTTTTGAGAATAACTATATAAATTGCAGTGCTTCGCTTTACTGTAATCGCTGCTGATGTTTTCGAGGCTATACCCACATGTACGCTATGCGTACCTCTCGTTGAAATAATAAATTAAAATTGTTTCCTCGTTTCCGGGCTTTCCCTGTTTTACAAATTATGCGAAGCTGTGTTTTCTTGATCTACTTGTGATGTAGTATATGTTTTATCGGAAGAGAATCAGGTAATCTTTTTGAAATATTTTCGTTTCTTCCGTCTGGACTTTAGTATATAAGTAATATACGACTTAAAATTAAAGCTCAAAGCCAGTAAGTCTATCAAAACTTCTGTTATGAAAAGCAAAAATGTTTGCCAACAACATATTTTTATTTAATTATTATTAACTCAATAAAAGTTTTATTGCTATGTTACAGTGAACTAGTTTTTTATGTCAGCCTTTTTGCTAAATTTTCATAATGCAATTTTTTCAAACAGCCAAACTTTTACTAGAATGTATACAAGTTATAAGTTTGTGTATATTTTTAGCTAAACAAGGCATACTAGTCACTTTATATTGATTTATTTGCCTGACCTGGCAGGGGTTCAGGCAGGTTATTTAACAACCACTGGAGTCAGTGGAGTGGCAGTTAAAGCCTAATATTTTCTTTGACAAGATTTATCATGGTTTAATAGCTATAATTTCTGTACCTTGTACTTACTTTGTAACCATTAATAAAGGGTAGACTAAATTGAGTACAGTGAGACTTATCAGATTTTTCTTATTTTGCAGGAATATTGCATCCTTTAATTCCTTTGTCCTGAACAGGCGCGGATCTAGGGGTGATCAGAGCGATCACGCGACTAAGGTAAAAATTGCCAAGAAAAGTGTTCGAATGAAATAGCAGTCCAGTTGCTAAACACGTGCAGTGTATTGAGCTGATCAGGCACTGGTGATGTTTGGCAGTCCAGTTGTTAAGAGAGTTCCGTGACCAGGCCTTCAAGCACGAGCGCGCAGAAAAGCGGTCTTATGCATGAATTTTGCTCGCTTCGTCATCAAATCCCAGTCATCACATTGGCTGTCTCTCTTTTTGCGTGATTTGTGGGGAGTTCTGATCGGTGAAGCGATCAGGGGCTCGAATCGGGCTATTCAATTGGCTAATTCAAAATCTATCTGAATTCTCATTGGTTGTATTTTTCTGATCGATCAGTGTGATCTGACCTTGACCTGAGAGCGTGCAAACAGCAAGGTTCCTTGGCCTTTCTGAATTCTGATTGACGTCATCGTAGTTTTGACAGCAACGAAAACTCGAACGATTAACTCAAAAGAAACATTTTATTATCAAAACTATTTATTAATCATGTCAGATCTTTACAAAGCCGTGAGATGTGCTTTGGAGAAAGACGATCGGCAATATCTTAAAACTATCGAGGCCGATCTGAAGAAGCGAATAGACGCCGCAGCAAAGCGTTCAACTGAGCAATTTTTAAACAAACTGAAAAACACCAGCTTCTGCCTCACGAGAAATTTTGCTGCGGAATCGTACATCCCGGCGTCTGTTCGGAAGACAACAAAGAAGTTTTGTACGGCCTTAAGGTAAACATAACAACATTTTACAAAAATTTCGTGCATTTGTTTATTGGTGATTGTGTAATTTGTGTTAGAACTGTCAAGCTGCACAAGCTATAAAGTTGAAATTTACACGTTGCACGTTGAAATTTACATAGGATTTCGCTTTAATTTACATATAACTGCGGCGTATGCATACGCTTCAAGAGGAATCGAGGAGTGTAATAATGTATTATCACTACCATGTGAACTACGTGTGTACCTAATACCTTCTGTGAAATGTACAACCCGATGTGTCATGTGTTAGGGTAAAGCAGGCCTTGCAATGAAGATAAATCAGATAAAGCCGTCAGCGTCGAGCTTCAAATGCATCGTGTGCTGGCAAACAAAGGAATTCGTGAAGTTTTTCCAAATGTTGCAATTGCTCTTCGAATTTATTTGACATTAATGGTGAGCAACTGTTCGGGAGAGCGATCATTTTCCGCATTGAAACGCATCAAGAACGTGCTTAGGTCTACCATGACAGACCAGAAACTGAACAATTTATCTATAATGTGTATAGAGGCAGAGGTCTTACGCAAAATCGACTTCCAGGATATCATTAAAGAATTTGCCTCTCGTAAATGCCGCAAACCTATTTTGTAAGGTGCCTGATGTAATAAGAAAACTGTATGTTTTTATATTAAAAATCTAGCCAGTACGGCATTCACGCGGGTTTCATATATTTATCTGGAATATTTGCTGTTTTCTATTTATAGAAACCCAAAGATGCGAGTTTGAATCCTCCTTGAAGCGACGAATTATTTGTTGTTTCTTAGCCTTGCCATGCAGTTAAATAAATCGACACGCACTGCGGGGTGGGCCGAAAAAATACAATAGATTTTTCCACAATTGTATATTTGTATATTGGCTTTACTTTAATATAAAGAATCTCTCTCAGAAAGATAACTGAATTTCATTGTCCGAAGTCTGAACACCAGCTGACAATTTTTGAAAATACATAACAAAACATAATTCGAAGATTAACATCTTAAAATCTAAAATATAGGTTAAAACAAGAAAACAAGAATTTTTATCTAAAATCACAATCATTAGTTTTATGATGGTCTTCACAAACTCGTTGTTGCCTTGTTTTAACTATAAATCTATATACGTTCGTAGTTAACACACACTACACAGTCACGCTAATTCCGCCGCAGTCAGACCAGTGCTGACAAAGTGGTTATCATTTGTCACATGAAGGCTCCCCGATAAAAAGATCTCTGGTTGGTGTAAAAAAAGTTTGCTTTTTGCCGGTAACTTCATTACCCAGCCTTGTTATGTTAAGGCCAGTTCAGACGGGCGAATTTGCTGCGATTTATGTCGCAAAGTTATGGAATAGGCTTCATCATGTTAAGTAAAAAATCCGTTAGCGGTAAGGACATTGAACGGCTTATTATACTGACGAATATTACAATAACAATTCAAACGCTAAAATAAGCGATAAATATATAAAAATCGCAGCAAAAATCGCCCGTTTGAACTGGCCTTTTGGTCTCTCGCTTTCAAGTCTCGCCACATTGAACGCGTTTCTATGATTAACGGTAGACTGGAACTAGTGTTTCTCTACATTCCTGGGATTGGCGGGATTGGTAATCTGGGTATTAAAAATACTACACCTGCCTGACCAATCTGACAGTATTTATACTACGTAGATTCTAGCGAACCGCCTGACCTAACTAGTGCCTGCGTGCCCTACTATACTTGGCAGTGCTGACCCCATGACAAGACATTCAAGCCCCGTTTACACGACAAACAATTCTGGCACGGTACCCTTAAATATTGGCACCGTACCATTTTGCCTCCCCGTTTACAGGACAAAAAGTTTGCAAAATTG